CAGATTTCCAACACCATTCAAATGCCTTTTTGCTATCTTCTAAAACATCTATTCTCTTTTGATAACAATGTTTAATATTTAATTATTCAGTAAAATTTCTATACCCAGCAGATTTTAAGTGCTATTTGAATGCTTTCTTTTTATCTTTAGGTAAACATATATTACCTTGATAACAACTAATAAATTTTTTATTAGCTTTATTAGTATTTTCGCTTTTAGCATACTTTTCACCAGAATTCCAAACTAAATTTGACCCATATTTCTGTTTTTTTATATAGACTTGGAAAGTTTCTATTAAATGCTATTAGCTCATTATAATGTTGTTGACATAACTAATCATTTAATTTGAGTTCTGCTTTTAAACTTGAAGCAGCTTGACTTTTTATAACTTTAGATAAAAGATCTGGTGTTAGTTTACAAAACCTTTATTCAAGATTATTCTTGCCACATATTGTACATGGTTTATTTTTTCGTAGTAAACCCCTTGGCATTGTTACTATTCAAAGTCACACCTATTTTAGGATCTGAAAAACCTATTTTAGAATCTTTGAAGCTGAGGTCTTGTTGAATGTAAACACAAAATTTCATACTACAATATTGAAAAATAAAACTTGGGGATTCGAAAAAGCAAATACCATTTTTTATTATTACATTAAACAAATTAACCAATTAGAGGGCAGATTCTCAATAATCACATGAAAACAAATCCGCCCATATGTAATATATTCTTTAAAAAATCAATTATAACTCAAAATTTCGCTTATGAAACTGCCGCCCCAATCTCAAACTTACCCTTACTCTAACCTTAGGCAGTATTTAAATTTTCATTCTATAAAAATTGTTTTGATTTACACGTTACACAGATTTGCAGTATACAAACACACTGTGTACGATTAGTTATTTTCATTTTTTTATATTAATTTTGCATAATAGTTTTCTTTCCTTTTTAGTGGTAGTAAAAGTTTTATAAAATGATTACTTGTCACTAATAATAAAAATGGCTATTCATATTCTTTAACCTTGTACCCTTAATAATAAGAGGAGCTATTCTTTACCTTTTTTGCTCTAATAAACTAATCGATTGCTTGTATGTACCACAATTGGTTTTGCTGACTCTAATTTTTTTTTATATTTACGATTCTCACTAAATCTGGCCACCACATATCATAGCTTTCTCCAGAATCGTAAAAATATTCATTAAAAAAAAATCAAATTGTAATTTTACTAAATATTGCTAAAATTATAATGTGAGTTAATTGTACTTTTGATCTTATGTATAATTTGTTTAGTTGGTTTTTAAAATATAAGCTGTTATGGCGTTCAATACTTGTTTATGTGAAATTTGAACTTTTAATCGAAAAGAATACTTAAAGTTAATATTTGAATAATATATTAAAATACTCAGCATTATTAAATTTTTACTCGAATGCTTATCCAACGTATTTGGTGTGTTTAGTTAGTACGAAAATTTATGAGAAAGCTGCTCTTATTAACCAATAAACCTTAGCAAGAAATACAAAAGATGCTCCAGATATAAATTGGACTTTTTAATAAGCATAAAAACAGAGAAATATATATATAATATTACATCTTTGTTTATTAAGTTATAACCCTTCAAATTGTCTTAAGATTATTAATTTTACGTCCTAACCAAAGTTCCAACTATAACTAAGTTTTTTTTTATTAAAGTTTTAAGATATATCATTCAAGTTTAGTAAATGTAGTTTAATACATTATATCTTTGAAAGTGCTTGTAAACCTGACCTGTAGCTAACACCTAAATGTTTAGCAATTTTTCAAACTAATAATTTTTTTTTTTTTAGCAAAATAGCTTTAAAAGAATAACATTTCTTTGTATTCTACCAGAGATATATGTACTTACATACTAGTCTTATAATATTTATATTAGTCATTGGATCTTAAAATATATATATCACCAGGTGTTCCAGAATTTATGATAACAGCTATAATATAAGGCGGCATAAAAAAAATAAATTGGTTTTCATATCCCGGCCGGGTCAGAATTGATCAGAGTCAAAATTTTATTTTTATGCTGCAGTAGATAAGCAGCCAATAAGAATGCATGATTTTATTGTTATAAAATAGGATCGTAGTGAATGTATTTTTATTTTATACTTATAAAAAATAAAAGATTTTATACATATAATAAAAGATTTCTAAAAACTATATGATTTAATTATTTTGTTCGGTGCTGTTTTCCCTTTTTGTTCGTACTTGGACTCCACTTATAACGCTTTTTTGGTAGAGATTTTCACCACATCTGGCACACAATGGACGTTCACCTTTTGAAGGATTTGTTACATCCCTATTGCCACACAAAAAGCAAACTGGGGGGAAGATTCCTGCCAAATAGTAGGGTTTTTCAATTGGAGATGCACAACTCCAAGAATCATTTACAAAGACACGTTGAAAGAGCTTGTAGATAGGATTGTCCTTTGTGAATCTATTTTCAGGTTCGCCAGTTTCTTTGTTCGCCATATAGCTTGAATCTTCATTAATCTCTGTGTTTCCCATATATAAGCAACTAGCTCTAGTAATCACATCGTTTTGTTGGATTTCATCTTGCTGGCTTTCAACTTGTGGATCAATTTGTTTGTCGTCACTTAGTTGGTCATCACTTAGTTGGTCGTCACTTAGTTGGTCGTCAATTAGTTGGTCGTCAATTAGTTGGTCGTCACTTAGTTGGTCATCACTTAGTTGGTTGTCACTTAGTTGGTTGTTAATTAGTTGGTTGTCAATTAGTTGGTCGTCACTTAGTTGGTCGTCACTTAGTTGGTCGTCACTTAGTTGGTCATCATTTTGTTGGTCGTCACTTAGTTGATCGTGGTTGTCACTTAATTGGCTATCACTTTGTTCATTGCTTTGTTGGTCATTATTATTCTCAACATTGATAGTATCGGCATTAATGAAACTGGTGGAAGCAAGATCACAAGTATTATGAAAAGACATTCCGCATGTGTATAAGATCGTGTCTAGGAAAGATTCTAACATTTTACGCTCTTTTCTATTAATTTTTTTGAACTAAACAACAAACATGGTTTCTCACATTCTGAACAAGTAACAAAAATTCCTATGTTTCTTGCATGTATAGAGGAAGGGCTAAATGGTATAGTATGCTTTAGATTAGATTTTACTTTACCTAACTTGGTGGATCGTAATTTAGCATTTTTAAGCGAGAGTCTATATTCTTCCGTTGTACGTGTGCCATATAACTCATCAAATGATTTATAATAAACACCTTCGCCAGGAACTGGATCAGGGATACAATGAATTGTTTAAATTCTTCTTCAAAGCACCGAAGTGGTAGGCAAATCATACATCTTTCATTTTCGCATTTCTTAATGGTGAAAAAATAATGTCTTATGGTACAAAAATGTTCGATAAATTCCTTCAACCATGGCTACAAGAAGGTAAGTACCATAGTTATTAATATTATCATAAACTCTAAAACACTTTACTTACTCTTTTTGTTATGCTTTCTGCTGTACGATCTTGTTGAGTTACTTCAACATCAATTAGGTGAATTGTTTCCTATAATTCTGTAATCTTAATTTCAGTCGCTGTATCAAATATTTTAAAAGGTATTTCTTTTAACGATTGGCATTCAAAGATGCTACAAACTAGATTAATTGGTTGCTGAACACTTCTAATAAGCTCATCTTTTGAAGTAGGGTTACTTTCTGCAATGCATCGAATTTCTTTTATTGTATTTGCTTTTTTTATTACTTTTCTAGCTCATCATCTATTTTACTTTGCATTAGACCAACGCATTGCAGCCCAAGATTTAAAATAGACATTATGCGCTCTACTGGATTTTTCCAAAAGTGTTGGGGTGGGGTTCTTACTACAACGAAGCAGTCAAGGTCTAAGGCCAGAAATAAGCATATGTATGACAATTGGACGCATGTAAATGTACAATGATGGTCAGGTCCACCATCTGTATAAAGACAGAGAACAGGTTTGTTGGTGATGTTTTTTTCTAGTAAGATATTATATAATTCAGCAGCATGTCTCATTGGCGAAGAAGGCTGAAAAATAGCATCTTTTAATCCAATATGAACCTCTTCCGCATAAAAATCTCCATTAATTAACTCTAGGATATCACATATTATTGTGACACTTGGTATTATTCCGGCCTTCGTATAGTCATGATCACTAACCATCATTATAGAACCATTACTAACAACAACTTGCTTACCTCTTTCTATAGCAGCTACTGGATATCTGGGTTCTCCAACTTTACACCTATGTTTGTCATCTAAAAATACTAAAGTCGTAATTTCATGAAACTTTGTGGCAAATTCTTTTTCATACCGAAACAACGCAAATGCATAATGCACATCTGGATGATAAGCACGAAGCTGACGAACTTGTATCATAAATTTTAAAGGTAGGAGTCCAGTATACTGTAAACTACTAAGTCTAGTTGATTTTTAGGCCAGAATTGGAAACGAAGCCATTGTGTGCTTGGAATTGATGTATTGGGAGGATATTCATTTTTTATCTGAGTTAGTAAGTCATTAACTGAAATGGCAGTTGCTAGGTGAACAATTGTATCATGTCGACGTTCGTCGACCGCTGTTACAAACTCTGATACTTTTTTTGAAAGAAAATCAGCCGCAATTTTCCAAAAAGCCTCATATTTACTTGGTCTACCAGGATTATGTTCACATAAATCAGTTGTAATTTCAGAGTCGCCTAATTCAAGAGCTAATCTAATTCTTTTATCCATTTCTGCTTCGTTGACAGACTCAGGTGCAGAAGAATCTTCAGTTAACATATGATAAATTGTGCGGAGCACTGCAGGTTTAGCTTTTGGTAAAAGTAGGTCATATGTATGCAAATAGCTGGCTTTCATTATATGAGTATGATAGTGAGGGCTTTGACCTGAAGCTCATTAACTATATTTGTGTTTTGTTGCATCAATGTAGTTTTATTAGCATTACTATCTATTTTCCAAATTGAAATTGCATTAAATACATTATTGCCAGAAGTAAACTGAAATTTGCCAAGTTTAAAGGTAAATACTCAAGATAACCTTTGTACGTAACACATTCTTGAACTACAAATAAGCGAATATGAAATTAGCTATTAACAATTATTACCGTATTTTCGCGAAATAACGCGCAAGAGCATTATTTCGCAAAAATATGGTATTTTCAATTTACTTATACAGGAGTTGTTGGTAAATAATTTTTGACATCAATTGGTGTCTATAAAAATAAATCATTAAGGGCATTTTCTAATTGGTGATATTTGATTTTGTCATCCGGTATTATAAAAATATTATTTTGATGAATTTTAACTTTATGACATCTTCTATATTGTGTACTGAAAATGTAGATGCATGGTTTTCTGTTGTAATTTTATTTTGTTGCTGTAAAAAACTAATATAATTTGAAATAGTCATGATCAAGCTATTATAAGGTTCACGAAGCCAAGTAAATAATGGTTTGAATATCCACGGTAATATTGTATGTAATGCGAGGGCTTGGCAATAAAGATTTAACTCAATTGCATTAAAAGGTTTTCTGGATGCCTTATATGCTCAGGGTTAGCATGACCAAAAAAGTCTAAGAATAATTCTGGAATAT